TCCTCTCCCACAGGCATGAGCAACCAGATGCAAATGAAATACAGTCCCTTCCACTTATCCTTGCTCCTGCAGCTTTAATTAGGCATGATTACAATTGAAGTTGCCCTCTGAGGCTCCGACTCTCAGATTTCTCCAGCCTCTTTTGTGAGGCACAGCGTGTTTCTAACAAGAGGCAGCCAGAGTAACATCCCTGTTTTCCACTCCGTGGGCATGACACCTAACAGCAATTTGATTTTCAGGAGCAGCAAATCAGACAGAGAAGCATTTGCTGGAGGTGATGCACCTGGAGTCAGTGCCCTGCCTCCACCACATGCTGGGCACCCTTCGCAGGAGGCTCTCAGAGTCCACCCTCAGCCTTGGCTCACGTCTGTACCTGCAGAAAGGTGAGAGGTGGCCCAGGGGGGGCTGGACTGGTGTAGGACAAACCTCCCAGTCACAGAGAGTGATGGAAGCACTCTGGAGACATCAATTTCCCCTATTTCCTCCTCTTGGGGAGTGTCATATCACGCTGAGCAAACCTTTTCCATCATTCCTCCCCTTTGCCAGGGTTTGAGGTGAAAGAGAAGTTCCTGGAGGATTCAGAGAAATTCTATGGAGCAAAGCCCAAGACCCTTTCTGGGATCAGTCAGGACGACCTCGTGGCCATAAACAACTGGGTAAAGGATGTCACTCATGGGCAAATTCCCTCCTTCCTCCAGCAGCTCCCTCAAGACACAGTGATGCTCCTGCTCAATGCCATCTATTTCCATGGTGAGCTCCTTATTTTTTCAAGAGGAAATAGTTAGAACTCCAGTTTTCTGCAAGCCCTGTAGCTGCACAGCCTCTCCTCTCCTCGCTTCCTGCTAGGCAATCTGCTTGTTCTTGTGCATCTGCTGTTCCTCTTGCTTAGATTTCTTTACAGTAATAATTCCCAACTGCTTCACATGTGCTAAAAATGTTACTTATCAGCAGAGCCAGGACACAGCAGGTGGGACCTGCAGTATCTTTGCCTCCTGGTTCAGGATCCCAGGCAGTGGCACATCCCTACTCATCTACTCAGTGATCTTAAAGGTCTTTTCTCACCTAAATGATGAACCAGGTCATTTGCAGCTCACTGCACACTCACCACAGAGCTCAGAGGCAGCTTCTGTGGATTCCTCTCTGACTACAGCACAGTGGTCGGCCACATCTTCCTTTTTTAATTCCCTGAGGGCTGTGCACAGACCAAACACTTCCAGTGTAAATCTACAAACGTTTTACCTTGGTCTTGGAGCAGTGCTTCCCCTTCTGCAGCACAGAGGCAATACTCCCCATTTTTCAAAGCACAAACATAGTTTCTTTTATCTCCATAGCCTTCAGTAGTCTCCCACGCTGAGGCATGAGGATTAATCCCTGTTCTTTTTTGTTATTCCATAGTTTCTCTCTGGATGATAAGAGTTTCCTGCTGTTAGGGCTCTTCCAGCCTTGGTACTGACTTCTCTTTGCTGTATTTTCATTTCCCTGGTCACTACTGGCCTTGTTAGAGAACTCAAGATAGGAGGAGTGTCAGCTCAGCAGTTTCTGGTTTTCTACTCAAATTTACCTTCATCACTTTCAAAACTTTTATTTTTACAGGGTTTTGGAAGAATAAGTTTAATGCGAGCTTCACTGGGCCAGATGTGTTCCACCTTGACAATGAGTTTGTGGTCCCAGTTGAGATGATGAAAGCCCACCAGTACCCCCTGAGCTGGTTTACTGTGGGGTCCCAGGATATTCAGGTAGGGGTCTCTCAGGAGTACAGCAAATTTTCACTGGAATTTCCTCTTGCTGTGGTATTTTACTAACTGCAAACATTCCCTCCAAAAAAGCAATTTTTTTAAACAGGCATAGCACACAAAAATTTAATAATCATTCTTTGTCCTTGCTTCCAGCAAGAATGTTGAAACTTCACTTTTAAGCTCCAGGAAAAACTACAAAGAGATATTCCAACTAACTGGGAATTCATAGAATTTTAAAGCCCTGAGTAAAAGATAAATGAGGAAATATGGAAAGGAATTCCCTCAGACAATGTGCTGTTGGAGTTTTTCAGAATCCAGAGTGGGGCATCCTCACTCTGCCATGTGCTCAACTTTACCAGCCAGTGGCTAATACTAAAATCTAAAGCTGTTATTCCAACAAATTCTCCTCTGGAGAAATCAGATCCCTCCTTCTCACCAGGCTGTTTTCATCTGGGAGCAAGATTGGCCCTGTAGACCAATTAGAAAAAGATTAAATTAAAAGCATCACTTTGTGGACTTCCTTTTCCCTGAATTCTTCTCTGGTTGGTTTTATTTCTAGGTGGCCAAGTTTCCCTTTAAGAGTAATGTGAGTTTTGTGGTCATTGTACCAAACCACAACACGCGGGACACCTCTGACCTGCTGGAGAACTTCCCTTACAAACAACTGTGCAGGCTTTTCCCCAGAGAGGTGCCCACCACAGTGAAGATCCCCAAAATAAAGTTGGACTACCAGCTGGAACTCAACCAGGTTCTCAGCCAAATGGGTAAGGCCTGTGGCAGGGTTTGCACAGAACAAGAGGAGCTGATCAATCTGTTCGCTGACACCAAAAGCTGCCACCCTTGTTTCTAAAGCTGTGCCTCACAGCTTGCTCCAGAACTCCAAACTCTCAGCTCTTCTTCCTCTCCTCCTCCTTACTCCTTGCTTGCCTGGCACCAAATGTTTTGCTCCAACGAGATGATACTACAGAGAATTCACAGCTTCTCATAGTCTTTACGAGTTCTTCCTACTGTAGCCAAGACCAACTTCCCCTGTGCATCAATCTCAGTCTCTTTGTCATTTAATTCAGTGTCCAGGACATGGAAATTGCCAACAGAGAAAATGCAGATCCCAAAACCTGGAACCGAAATAAAACATTGGGTTCTGCCTTTCCAGATGAGAATCATTTAAGAGTTCACTTTGTTTTGCAAAGAATTGCTTTAAAAAATGATCTCTGTAGAAGTGTTTCCAGCCTAGCTAGAAAAAGTCTTCAGACTTGCTGCTGCTTTTTAAGGATGACTTCAAGTTCTTACACTACTATTCTTAAAGAGGTGGAGTTTTTGTTTCTCTTGCCTGTCAGTTCTCCAGTCCTCCATGGTGGGCAGCACATGGAGCAACAGATCAGGGAATTGCTTTCTTCAGACAGCTTTGAGAAAACTCAGAACTCATGGCACCAACTTGGTCTCATTTCTCTGCAGGCCTCCAGGAGCTGTTCACGAGCCCAAATCTCCAGAAGATCACAGAGAAGCCTCTCTTTGTGTCCAGTGTACAGCACCAGGCCACCCTGGAGCTTAAAGAAGATGGGGTGGAAGCATCTGCTGCCACCAGCGTTGCGCTGTCACGCTCAGTTTCTGCCTTCAGCCTCGACAGGCCCTTTGTCTTCATCATCTTTGAGGATGAAACAGGGATCCCACTCTTTATTGGCACTGTCCAGAACCCCAACCCAGATGCTGCTCCCCAGATCCGAGAGCCACAGGACTCACGTGAAGCCACAGATGCCAACAAGCACCACCTGCCCAAATAGCAGAGGGCAGAGCTGAGTGTGCTGGGACTCCTGCCTGACCCTCTGCACCAGCTGGGAGAGGCCTCCTGCCCCTCTGAGGTCACAGGGGGCACTTCTTGCTGTTTTCCTTTCCAGATCCCTAGAGACCAGTCCTGGGATAGCCCATTCCAGCCCTGATGAGCTTCTCCAGGCTGAGGCTCCCCTCTGTTGAACCTGAAAAGCTTGTTCTGCCTGGATTTTCCCTTCCAGGGCTCTCAGTCATGGAAGGGAGACTTTCTTGTCCCCAGACTGCTATTAGAGTCTTCATTAAGATCTTATTAGAGTCCCCTGTAGCCTGGAATCATCATTAGCATCTGGCAGCTTGGACATCAGCCAGGGCTGTATGAACGTGGCTCTTCCTTCCGCAGTTCCTGGGAACACGAATCCCTCCGTGTTCCTCTGAAAACCATCTGTGCCCACCTAGACAACGACCTCCAGAGCAACTGGACTAGAAACCAGTTGTCTTCTCCAGGATGAGTCACAGCCACTTCCAGGCATGGGTTCTTTTCAAAGATTCCCTTTTCCCACTCCTTGGCTATTTGGATCTGATGTAGGAGGCTCTGCTGTAGGAAACCCCTCCCTTTGGATCCTTCTCTCCAGCCCTTCTTCTAGAGGCTGGGTAATGGTAGATTTTGCAAGGCATATTTTATAAAGTGTTTTTTAGTAATTTTTATGTTGGCAGAATAATAAAGAATAAAGCAGAATATATTTGCTGAAGGTGTTGCATTGAAGGACCCAACAGAGAAAGGAAAAAGGCACAGAAATTCAGTAATTGAAAAGATTGGGAGGAAAAAGTCTGGGCATGACAGAGGAAAACAAAGGAGGGGCTGTGGCAAAGGATCTGGTTTTTGTCACACCTTGTCACAGGGAACAGCAGGGGCTGGGAGGTGAAATGGCAAATCTGTAAAGACTCTCCAAGGGCCAAGTCCAACAAGTTTTGGGCATCTCCCCTGGCAAGTGTGCAGGGGATGGATGCTCTCTGGCTCAGAGCTGGCTTTGTGAGATGGCAGAATTCCCTGAATTAGGGCATGAGCTCAGTGGCACAGGGTCAGGAGGGTGTTTGGCCTGTGAGCAGCAGTGCAGGGATAAGCAAAGATGTAACAGCCCTTAACCTTTCTCTTGGGTAAAACCTGACAACTGCTGGGATCTGCTCAGAGGGTCAAAGGTGCTGACCTGGCATCTGTTACCTGTGATTTGTTCTTCTGGGGTAGTTCTGGCTCCACAGCATCCGTGCTGTGGATGGCTGGGACAGCTTCCAGGGAAAGGAGGAAAGATTTTGACACCTGTAGCTGAATGTCACTGCTTTTGTTCTGGCAAAAGACAGTGTTCTGTTGTAGCTTCCCTTTGGTCTGAGGTGGGTCCTTGTTCCAGTGCAGCAGTGCCCTAAATGCCCACGAGGTCCTGGCACAGATTGTCCAGAGAAGCTGCCCCATGCCTGGAAATGTCCAAGGACAGCTTGGACAAGGCTTGGAGCAACCTGGGATAATGGAAGGTGTCCCTGTCCATGGCAGGGGGCCTGAAACAAGGTGATCTTTAAGGTTCCTTCCAAACCAAACCATTTTATAATTCTATCAAGGAATTTTGGGGTTCCTCCACCCAACCAAGCCATCCTACCACTTAAAAATTATGGGCCTAACTCAGCAGTACTTCTGTACAAAACAACTCCTGTCCACAGTAATTTCTGCTTCCAAACCCCCTCGGCTGCTGGGTGGAAAGGATGGTGCTCTGTTCTTGCAGAGCAGCAGTTAGAGAGCCCAAGGGCCATCCTTCTGGCAGTGTTTTCCTCTCTTGGGAAGGCTGCCTTCCCTCAAAGGAAGGAGCAGAATGCTTCTGGGAGCCTCCGTCCCTGAATAGTCTGCACCATCTGCTGGCATAAGAGCAGGACTGACTCACTAACCATGAATTTCGGGGATGCAGGAGACTTTGGGGAATAAAAAGTCCTGGCTCCAGCCTCCAATTATGCATTTCTTCCAGTCTAAAAGGGGAAGAATGGCCGAAGATAATGCCTACCCCTCTAACCAATGTAATGACACAAACCCTTCAGAAAGAGGCTGTAATTAGAGAGCCCTGCAATTTTAACAAGTAAACCCACAAGAATTCAGCCTTTCTCTACTAGAGGGCACAGCTCTAGCCCACAGGGAACATTTTAGCTTATTTATTTATACAGATTCATTCCTAGCATTCAGAAATACCATTCCATGCCTTAGGTAAGTCTTCTTTGGCTACTGTAACCTCCCTGAATGCCACCCTGTTGCACTGCAACCGCTGCAAAATTTGAAGCTCAAGTTTTCCTTTTCACGCCTCTGCCCTCCAGCTCCTGCTTTTATAAAGTTTTTTCCCTTGTTCTCAGTTTCCTGAACAGCTTGATTCTTATTTCCTATTTTCTGTCTTGCTGCCATCACTCCTCCTCCAAGCTATTCTTGTCAAACTATTAATTTCATCTTATTTGACAGTACAGCAGCCCTCCATGACTGTGCTTCGCTCAACAAATTATCAGTTACACCAACCATAAGACTCTTTTTCACTCCACTGACTTTCCAGAAGAGGCAGTTTGTAAAATGCAAAGTAATATTAATGTTTCTGCTCAGGAGTTTCCACTTTGCATTGCTAAAGCTTTCATTTTGACGGAGCTGTATTCTGAAAAGACATGACTAGCACAGGGTGTCTGCTCTATCCATCTGCACCACTGGCTCAGAATATCAAATAAGTCCCACTTTCTTTCATATTAGATGTATTTTTTTCCTTACCTAGAGCAAATTCATATCATCACTACTTCCACAGTAGAGGTGAACCCTGTCAGAGAGCAAACTGAGACCAAACCAGAAGAACAGCAAAATGTTTGTATTGATTTAATAAAACTGGTTTTGTTAGATGAGTTTAATGCACCATTTGAGGAATACCCCTCACCTACAGGAATAAACTTGGCTTTGGTCTGTAATAACATTCTATGAAACTACCACTCTGATTTAAATGGTTTTAAAACCAAACCTGTATTTAAACAGATGGATTTTAATTTGAAGATAGAGACAAGACATAGAAACTTCTCTAGTAGTCCTTCCATAAAGGGCATTTTAACACCACAAACGAGGTATCACAAAGAGATGAAAACCACCAGAAAACATCTCCACAGGCAACACCCCCATTCCTGGGCTGAGAATGGAAGAATAACAAGTACAATCTTTTCTCTGCAGATGATTTTGCACAGAGCAAGCTGAGAAGCAGCTGAAAGCAGAGCTGCTACCCCTCTGGTTAGGAGGGCTGGCCTTTGAAGCACTGACTAATCACAGGGCACACCTGATCTGCCCTCCTGGCTTGCAAAACCAGCAGCTAATGCACCTCTGAGCCCATCCTTTCCCCTCTGCTGAGGGGCTGGATGAGCTCAGTGCTCACTGGGAGGAGTTTCTCGTTACCTGCTGGCAGTGAGCCCAATGTCCCAGCCTGGGGACCCTGACACCACTGCGTTTGCAGCATTTCCAAACAGAAAAACAGCTGGATCTGGTTAGTGTCCAGTTAGCCCAGTGTCCTGCTCCTTCCAGCAACCATGGCTGTGGAAAAAAAAAGCATGGCAAGGGTCAAGGAAAACCCACTGTTCCCTGGCCATGTTGCCCAGCTGGCCATTGGTAGCCTTCAGGGGATCTTTCTTCCACTAATTTGGTTTGGGTTGGGTTTTTTACCTCAAATCTATTTTTATCGTTCATCTTCTGCAATATCTAGTTATAATGAGTTTTACAATTTAATACTTGTTTAAAAATATATTCACTTGATTTAAATGTGCATGGGTGGGTGCTCCCCTTGAGCCTTCTGTGGAAAGTAATAATGGAACTCCTCTGTCCCTCTCCTTTCTCCATCATTTATCATTCTGAAAGCTTCTACAAGATTCTTTTAATTCATCTTCTGTTTTAACAAGTCCTTGGCTTTCCAGCCTTTCTTTTCAGCCAAAAAACTTTAAGCCAGTTAATGATTTCTTGTTAACTAGTAACTATCAGTGGATACAAGCAGTTCCCAGCATCTTAACTGCCTCAAACAACAGAATTCTGTTTCCACAGTCTCTCCATTAAATCTTGGACATAAATCTATAAATCCATTAAACACTACTGCATTAACCATACCTCTGAGACAGAAGGAATTCCCTGATGTGACCTATGGCAGAACAGCAGGGATAAAATACTTGCTCAAACAGGGCAGGGAGTGTTTGCCTTTCCTACCCATGCTTTACCCACCAGGCTGCCCTTGGCACGGGGATTTGTTTTGGGGTGAAAAAAGGCTTGAAAAATTAGTGCAATTCAGGGTAAGGGTGGCAGGGGCAGAAAATGGGAGCAGAGCACTTTAAGAGAGCCCTGGGAAGCTGTAACCTGAAGCCTGCCGAAGGCTGGGCTGGGGGAAGCAGCAAAAAGCAGATGTGGCTGCACCAAACCCGCACTGTCCTCGACTCACACCCGCTGGGAGCCCTGAGAGCAGCGGCCGAGAGGAGCCCCAGGTAAGGGACAGCTCAGGGACAGCTCAGGGACAGCGCACACTACCCACTGCCAGCGGCCAGGGGAGCACAGGGCAGGGGCTGAGGCTGGGCAGCTCTCAGAGGACCTGGGAAATGGGAAGAATGGTTCTTCTGCAGGTGGGATTCCCACCAAGAGACCTCACCAAGGATCGGGAGCCACCGGCATCGGCTTTGCCCCCGGGGCTGAGCTGTGCTGGGGAACTGGGGTGGGTTTTCTGCCTTTCAAGCATCTGTCTTGCAGCTGGGCACATGTTCTTTGTCTGTGATGGTGTGACAGTGAAATCCTCTGGAGCTGGTGGCTGCAGGATGCTCCAGGAGCTGTGGAACAAGCAGAGTGAGCAGCCTGAACTCATGGGTCCTGTTTCACAGCACCTCTAAAGTCAGAAGTGTTTATAAATTATGTGAGAGACTTGTACCACTGTAGGTGGAAAGTAAAATATTTCCTTTGCACCTGCAGGCCTTCACAAATCGACAACTCCCAGACACAAAGTTCCTTCTCAGCTCATTTCTCAAGGTTTTCTTCCTGTACTTTCTGACTGTAACATCACTCGCTGTTGCTCCTTCTCTTCTCCTTCAAGGCAGCCACAGATTTTAATATCATGCCTGAAACCATCCCACCTCCGATCCAACCAAATTCTTTTCTCTGCATTTCTGGCTGTGTGCTAAGAGAAATACAAATAGAATCCAGATGTTCAGGCCAATTCAAACGCAAAAGGCTTTGTCTTTTTTAAATGGAAATTGCTTTTTGGCGAAGTCTGAGAAATATGAAGCTGGTGACAGTACTGGCAAAAACAATACAATCTGCAAAACCAATCTCTGCTCCCATGCTCCCAGGAGCTCAGTGTAGCTGGAAGCAGAGGTTGTGTTGAGATTATTTTCTTTTTCTTCAGAGAAAAGGTTATGCTCCATGGAAAAGCTTCATCTCTAAGCTAGACTGGGCCAAACCTCTTCCTCTCAGCATGCAGGAGTGCAGCTTGGCACAGGCATCCTCAGAGAGCCTGGCTTAGCCTGTTAGACTTAGCCTCATGCAGGACTTCTGGCATCTCTCTTCCAGCATGGTGCCTGTTCACTGTAAATCTCTGGAATGACAGGAGCAATCCCAGCATCATATCCACTATCACACCATCAGACAGTAAATCCTCTTGATCCACATCTTCTGCACCAGAAACCTCACCCATTCTGCAGCTGGGATGGCAGCAGGTTGCAGCATGCAAATGCATGGGGGGAAAAAGGGTACCACTACTGTGTTACACTGGCTGAACACAGATGAGAGCTTAAAACCTCCCCTGTGATGCTTTTTTCTCCAAGGGAGAGCTGCCTCCAGAAGAAAAGGCAGGGAAGGGAAACAGCAAACTGCCTCTCAGCCTGCCTGAACGGGGTCTTGAGCTGGGGCTGTTGTCGCCACGTGTATTTCTAGCAGCAGGCATGTTTTCTTTGTAGCTGAATTTAATCTGAAACACATGTTCTTCCTCTGATTTCTCTAGTTGCCTGGATGACAGGGGTTAGTTAAATACAACCCTCTTCCTTTAATTTCTGGGAATCTATCTAAACACTGCTTCAGGCCAGCCTCAGTGGCGTCTGTTCTCGGGGGCAGGATGCTTCAGCAGCTCTGGTTTACCCACAGCAAAGCCCTGGGTTACTCAGTGCCCTCTGGACCAGACAGATCTGTCTGGGAGGGCCACTCATCCCAGTACTGGAGTGATGAAAAGTGCATTCCACACAAGGAAGTTGGGGAGTTTGGTGGTTTTCTCCCATCTCCATTAAAAATGTCAAATAAGCCAAGCTCTGCCTTCCACTTCTCCAGGTTTCCTTATTGTCTTTTAAGAAACCTCTTCCATTTTAGTTTATCAGATTGCAAATAAGAAGCAAAGAATGGACACAGGTACATGTAGACACAAGAAATAGCAAACTACTGCCTGAGGCAGGTAATTTGTATATCAAAGCAGTAACCAGTCAGTGTTGCCCTTTGCCCCATTCAACAATATGGATTTGGTACTTTTTATAAATGAAATCTTGAATTTTTCTGAAGCCTAAGACTCAGAAGTAATGATTTGGTGCTTTTCTGGACCTTGGCACTCAGTAACTGCCAGCATCAGTGTGGTTTGGGCCACACACATCTGCTTTTGTGCTCAGGCACACCCACACCATGTGCCTGCCCAGTTTTAAAGTCACTGGGGCCAGTCTGGCTGAATACTCCAAACTAGAGAAGGAAACCTGGCTCAGATCAGGTGTGTGTTTCACAACTGGAAGGACAAGCATCAGCATCTGTCACTGCAGCTTCTGCCACAGCCAGGTACAGTGAATAGTTGTGGTAGAAATGAATTTACCTGATTGTTCAAACTCTCTCTGTCATATTCCTACTCTGTAGGTCCAGGCATGCAGATTCCAGTGGTTCTCCTTTTCCTGGGCCTCTTAACTGTCCCAAGCAGAACTCAGAACTCAGCAACTGAGCAGGTGAGTAGGAGACAATATGCAGAGAGCAAGGGGAAGAGGTGTGGAGCAGGTAATTTAATTTTAGAGATTCTTACCAAAGGATTAAACACTACCCCCCTAAATTACTGGGATTTTATTTAGCAACATAATGAGACTAACTCCTGCTTTACCTGGATAAAACCACAGTAGTTACATCAGGGGATGACCAGGAGGCAGAATTTCAAACTCAGTGCTGCCTTTGGCATTAAAGTAACTGTTCCTACGCTGTCTGTAAGATTAAGTCAATATTTCTGTGGGTCATTGAAGAATATCTGTAGTTGTTTGCCTATGAAGTGTTTACCACACCTGCAAGTCTAACCAAAGCACTCCTTGGACTTGCCAGAACTCTGCCACAGCTGATGGAGCCAATGCTGGTGAGGAAGAGGAAGATCCATTCTACAAGAGCCCTGTGAACAAGCTGGCAGCTGCAGTCTCCAACTTTGGCTACGACCTGTACCGCCAGCAGTCCAGCCGGACAGCCACGGCCAACGTGCTGCTGTCTCCTTTCAGCCTGGCCACTGCACTTTCTGGTCTCTCACTTGGTGAGTTCTTTGCCCCATTTCCACACCCACCCTGAGGTCTGGCAGCCCTTCCCTCATGTTTTCCTGCTCGTTGGCAGGGGCTGGAGAACGAACCGAGGATGTGATTTCTCGCGCCCTCTTCTACGATCTGCTCAACAAGGCTGAGGTCCACGACACCTACAAGGACCTCCTGGGCAGTGTGACTGGGCCAGAGAAGAGCATGAAAAGTGCCTCCCGGATCATCTTGGAGAAAAGTACAAGTCCTTCTTCCCCTCTATAAAATTTTACCTAAAAAGCTGTCAGCAATAGTTATTTTGGTGTGAGTGTATATATAAAAACACACTGAGTAACACAGCACTAACAGCTCTGGCTCTGACATCCTGCTGAGCCAGGATGCAGACAGGGCATGGAATGCTCTTGCTGCTCCAGAAAAAGCCTGGAAAGTTTGTGTGCACTTAAATAAAAGACCAGACACGCACACAAAGACATTGGTGACAGAACAGTTAACTCACAGAAGACCTAAAAGAAACTTGCTGATAATTTTGCCTTCACTCCAGGCTGTCTGGCAGGTGTTGCTGGCTTCCAGGAACCACAGATCCCATTTTCTATTTGTGATAACACTCAGCCATATTCCTTTGTTTAATTCCTTGCAGAGCTATTTGAACTGTCTGCTTCTGGCATGCAATAAACATCTGCTGAGAATGCTAAGAGCTATCTTTTGGAACCTGCTGGTTCCAAGAATCCAATAGGTTGAGTAAGCTGTACTCAGAAAGCAGGCTGGGGAAAGAAGAAAGGCTGATGTGGGAATGGCTGTGTCCAAGCCTTCAGTTCTTATCTCCTTTTTTCAGTTTTCAGAAGAGAGTTATCCCATGCTCCAGCATGGGTGGCTGTAGGATTTGGATCACTTTCCTTAATGTGCTTTCAGATATTCCTCTTCAAAGCAGGTTTCTGGAGACAAACAGGCACAGATATTTTGTAAGAGACCTGCTGCTGGGCTTTGGATTGCCACCTGCTGCCTTGAGATTGTTTGGATAAGGCAGCTAGCTACAGCATCCATGTTTTTATTCCCCAGGACTCAGGGCAAGGCCTGGATTTCACAGCCAGCTCGAGAAGTCCTACAAGATGAGACCAAGGGCACTGAGTGGCAACAGCCAGCTGGACCTCCAAGAAATCAACACCTGGGTCCGACAGCAGACAAAGGGAAGGATCATGAGGTTCATGAAGGACATGCCCACAGATGTCAGCATTCTCCTTGCTGGGGCTGCTTTCTTCAAGGGTAAGAATGTTGGACACAAAAAGTGCATTAAGCACGTGTTAGAGGAGATGGGAAGGAATGCTCTCACTTCCAATAAAGCAAACAGGCTGTAAAACAGAGTGTGAGAAGAAAGTGTTTGAGAATGTTTAGTAAAGAGGAAAAAAAAAGCACACTACCTGAACAAAAATAGTCAGGAGGGAGGAATTATTACTCTAGGGAAGCTGAATCTTGACCTGTTTGCAGTAAGAATCAGAGAGGGAAGTTTAAGCTCACAAAACTCCATTCAGAGATGGGATATTACCATTTAGGGAAGGAACAGCTTAGAGTGTTCTGAGCCTTCTTACCACTGTAGAAGGAACAATTTGATACTAGAGAGCTGTTCTTAAACATACTGTCAGCCAATGTCCTGGAGAATTATTGCTTAGAGACAAGGAGCAAAATAAAGGGTGGGGAGAGAAGCACTTTATATCCATTGACACAACTGTTACCCTTTAAAATAGTTTTGTAATTACATAAGTAGACATCAGCTTCCCACTGGCTACTCCACCCATACGCTGGCTTGATTATTTATTTGCCATTTAGCCAATTCTCAGATGAAAAGGAGGGGCCAAGGATGGCAGTAAATCAGTAGCTCCAATCAGTCTATTTCTATCCCTGTTATGCCTCAACTCCTTAATGCACAAATTCTGTATATTAAAGTACAAGATCATTCATCCACAGGCATAAGCCTGGTTTCATATGTTATGATTCCAGAAAAATCCTCCATTTTCTCTCTTATGAAAAGGGACATGGAAAACCAAGTTTGACATCAAGAAGACTGCCCTGAAGGACTTCTACCTGGATGAGGACAGGACTGTGAAGGTGTCCATGATGTCAGACCCCAAAGCCATCCTGAGATATGGTTTTGACTCAGAACTCAACTGCAAGGTCAGACAGCAAAGATTGCCTAAGATCTCCTAAACCTCCGTAGGAGCAGGTTCAGCTACACCTACCTGTTAACCCATCCCAGCCTTGCTCCTCCCATCAGCTACTTTTGCAATCCCTATTTTGAAAGGCAGTGTGTTGACTCTTAGGACATTCTGCTTCTACCCAAATTATGTCACAAGCAATCCAAAATATAAATTATGCCCAGGTCCTACCAGCCTGTATTGCTTGACTTAAAGTTGGGCAAGAAGGGCAGGGCACACCTCAAAACTTTTCCATCTCTACCTCTTTCAACCAATCTTTCCCTGGAGCATGAGTTCAAAGGTGTTCAAGTGAGAATTCCCCAAAGCAATGCTGCAGGATTCAGCAGGTGAGAGAGCACTTCCATAGCAGGAAGAGTGCAGCAAGGATGGGTGAAAGCCTGGGGAAAAAGCCAGAAGTGTCAGGAAGCATCTTGTCAAATAAAAGCAAACAGGGAAAAATATCAAATGTTCACTGAAAAGGCTGAGATTCCAGCCTGAGAATCAGGCCACTGCCTGGTACAGGATGGGCAAAACTTTGTTATTGATGTGACCCTTTCTTATCTCTCTCTTATTTCTGCCCTTGCAGATTGCCCAGCTGCCCCTGACAGAGGGAATCAGTGCCATGTTCTTCCTGCCCACAAAAGTGACCCAGAACATGACTCTGATTGAGGAAAGCCTCACTTCTGAGTTTGTCCACGATGTGGACAGGGAGCTGAAGACAGTCCATGCTGTGCTGAGCCTGCCCAAACTAAAGCTGAACCACGAAGAGGCACTTGGCAGCACACTAAAGGAGACAAGTATGTGCATCACACCCGCCCTGCAGGCTGCCAGGGCTCAAAGCAGTGGTCAAGTTGCTTCCTGCTCTCAGATTATGAAGCTGGTGGGTTGTTAGGTATGGTTGTGGAGATTTCACCAGCAACCAAATCACCTTCATCCAGGATTTCTCAGCTTGTTATCACATTCCTCCACCAAGCTCATGCAGTGCTGCTGAGATTGTGGGTGAAGCTCAGCACAAGCAGATGGAAGCTGCTCCTCCCTCTTACCCCAAAAAGCTCAGCCCAAGCAGCTCCCTGCCCTCGTGGATCACACGTTAGCAGTGCTCCCCCTTCTGCAACCCATGCCTCCAGCTAATGGAACTTTCTCTCTTTTCTCCAGGGCTCCAATCACTTTTCACATCACCCGATTTCTCCAAGATTTCTGCCAAACCTCTGAGATTATCTCATGTGCAACACAAGGCAATGCTGGAGCTTAGTGAGGATGGGGAAAGATCCACACCAAACCCTGGGACCAATGCTGCTCGTCTGACCTTCCCCATAGAATACCACGTGGACAGACCCTTCCTTCTTGTGCTGAGGGATGATTCCACTGGAACCCTCCTCTTCATTGGCAAGATCCTGGATCCCAGGGGTGTTTAGATCCCTTCACAATAATCTGCAATGGTAGGGGCCAAACGAAAGGGTGATATTGGGAGGGATACTGGCTCCCTGCTCTGCTGCACAAAGACACAACTTGCAAATCTTACGCCTTCATGCTGCAATAAAAGAGCTTTTGCTATTAATCTCAGCAAGCCCAAGTATTCTCCCTTGAAAGGTTATCTGCCTACACTCCCAATTTCCCCAGAGGAGGAATGCAGTTCTGTGTCCTGAAAGCAAACATTATCTGGTGTGTGCTGCACTGTTCCCCATCCTGTTTTCCAACCTGACACCAGTTGTTGATTCTGAATCCCTCACCACTGACAGACCTGTGCTGGAGCCCTCCAAGTTCTGCAGTGCCCCCTTTTATAGACTGTAAGTTTGCACTTCCCAGGCTGTTGCCTCACCCCTTCCAACAGTTTCCATTTGACACTGGCAAGAAGGAAAGTGCCTCACAGTATTAAAAATAGAAGGCAACGTGCTCTGGATGACTGTATGTTCATAATGCTCAGGGCACCACACAGGGGAGAGTCACACCTCACACAAAAGCAACTCAAACATTTGCTTCCAACCCACACACAGAACTTATACAACAGCCTCTGTTCCCACCATACCACACACACACCTCTCACGTTAGAATTGGTCATTTTATTTACAACAGGCTCACTAAAGAGCATTTCAAGACTTCATTCAAGTTGCTGTTACACATGATTTTCCAGCTTGTACTACATGACTACCTTACCACATGACACTTAGCTTTGATGAAAAATCACATTGCAGCTTCCTTTGACAGGGAAATTAAGTCCTCTGAAGGATGTTTCTGGGAAGCTCTGACAGGCAGGCCTTCATCTCTTGTAGTTCCTGGATCTGAGCACTCTGAGGACCAAAGTGCACTGACAAAATCCCCTCTGCTCTTTGAATAGTGCTCAGAGCTTCAGAAACTGCAAATCTGAAATAGGAAGATAATAAGAACAGAGCATGCAAAATACTTAATTCAGCTTCTTGACTTACACAACCTTTAAGCCCTCCCTAACAAAAACCTAAACCTGTTCATGGCTACAGATGCCACCCTCCCCTGCCTTCCAGCAGCAGGAAAATTGTGACTGCTTCAGCTGCAAAGGGAGGATGGAAAGGTAAGGAGATGGACAAAAACTGAAAACATTATATTTGAGTACACAGGAACCCTCTACTTCATCACTGCAGCTCCTGCTAAAATTAATTTGGTTAAAGGGAGTTGTTGTGAGGGGATTTTCAGAAGCAGTCAGGGGATTTTCTTGCCAATAAAGCAGGAGGATTTCATTCCCTCTTTTGAGAAGATGTCAGCGACATTCTACAACTGAGATATAAACACCAAGGGTGATGAGTTGACAGAATAAAACAATTGGACAGGGAATAAATTGAGCCAGGGAGAAGAAAAAGATAGACAGGCACAAAGGAGAGAAACAGATTCCTAAGAGAGTACCTGTGCTAGACTGCCCTGTGTCCTGTGAGACACCCTCCAGGTGCCTTGATATTGTGTCAGACACACAGGAGTGGTGCAGGGCAGGGACAGAGGATAAACCAAACTCACCCATTGAAGAGGATTTGTGCCAGCTTGAAAAGTTCATGGCCTGTTTCTACACTTGATGGCCCATGGTGCATTTCCACAATCTCAATACTCTTCTTCAGGTGTCTGGCTGCTTCCTGCCACTTCCCTGATGGAAAAACAAGCAAAACAAAACAATGAGAAATTAATAAATACTTCCTAGAGCTACTGCCACCCAAAGAATCTGACAGAATTAATGAAAATGTGGTGAGCTCTGTCCACAAAACCAGGACAGGGAATTTAAAAGAACATGAGAACACAGTATTGTCCACTGGCTGCTGGGAACACAGGTTTGGTCTTTCTGAGAGCCCTGCAGACAAAACCAGGAGAAAAAATGAGAGGGCTGGTCCAAAAAAAAGCTAGTCATGTTAAATGCAAAGTTCAGGAGACATGGGATAGTGAGAGGACAGTGCCATACCAAGAGTAGCATAAACCTGTGCCAGATGATCCTCCAACTCTCCCATCAGCAAATGCTCTGGAGACAAGAAAGTTCCAGCATCCATCTGACACTTGAGGAGCATTTTGATAGCCTGATCTATTAAAAAAAAAAAAAGGTTATAAAGTTTACCCTGTGGCCAGTGTCCAGTTTTCCATGATCCATAAAATAAAATCAATCCAATCTCATCTTTGCACAGCTGATTGGGGTTTGGTTAGGATTCAACACTGACTTCACCTGCACCTCTGCTTATTCTACCCCAGCACAGGCCCAACTCCCTCCAGGAAAACAAGGCCTGGGAATGCCCAACTCCAATGTTACCCTGATTTCTTTTCATTTAATTACTTTACTATGGAATATGGAACAATATGTGACTTAGATTAACACCCAGATCAGTAGGTACAAAAAATCTAAAGCTGAAGTCCCCAGGGACACCAGGCCACATGTCACAGCACCCCAATGGCATGAGCAACAGTGCCATCTCATGGTTCCTGTCCCGACCTGGCCTCCTCAGCTCCTGACCTCAGGGCACAAAGCTGAGCCTTACCAGCCTTCCCGACTCTCAGCAGGTCTAAAGCTTTCTTGATTTGCTGCTGAAGGTCCTGTAAACGGCCAGACAGGTGATCTCTGCTGGCTGAGGTTGCACAAGCTTCATTTGAACAGCAAAGTGTGTCTTCTTCTCCCTGTGGAAATCACCTTTGTGATTATTTCTGCTCCCATTCAGCTCAAAGCTTACTCTCCATCTGCATTAGCTCTGGGTTATAGAGATACTAAATTGTTTCTCAGTTGTATGCATTAAACAACGTGATTTTTTAATAAATTGTTATCAACTTATTTGATTTTATAAGAAACAGTGAGATACTGTCTGAACTCAACAGGGGCTTTTGTCTTCTGAGCAGGGATCAAAGTGAGGTTTTTACCTCTTGGCTTTCCCAGACCCAAACCTTACACACCCCAGTAAGTTACACAATCATAACTATGGAGAATTACCTGCATTGGAGCCTGGCATTTGGGACAGCAGAACGAATTTCTGATGGACACCACACTCTTGACACCAGACTCTAACTCCTCGAGGCACGCCGGGCAGCGACACTCAAAGAAATACTGACTGAGAAGCTGCTGTCTCTCAGCAACCCTCATCCTACACCAGTGAGGCCCTGCAGAGGATGGCAAGGGTAGAGATCACTCACAGGTACAGTTCTTAATATCAGAATAAATGGATTTTTGTACAATTGAGACTAGGTGTATTTTGGGGAGGACACAACTGGAGACTGAAAATCTAACAGAGGACTTAAGGGATGAAAGGTTGGTCAAGGCTGCTAAACAAGGACTCTGGGAATATTAAATGAGAATTAGATGAGAATTATGATATAAATAGCCATCAGCATGATAAGGGGAGGTGAATGATGTCTGTGCCTTGAGACAAACACAGAATTGGGGCTTACCATAGCAGTGCAAAACCTCTTGGCCACTTGAGATTGGCTGTGCTGCCCTGACAGTGGCAGCTGTCCCGCTGAATGACACGCTGGTATTGGGGTGGCACGAGTGGTTCAGGAGGCTGAGGACAGGGAAGAAGGCTGTTGCCAGCCTCACAGGCTTCTTATCTACAACAGCTCCATCTCCAGGCCCTGAGGACAGAGGAAAACCAAGCAGGTTGAGATTGAATGCTCAGAAACCCACACAATTTCTGCAAGGAGCCCTGTGACCGATCGCAGGCAGCAGCAGAAAGGTTCCTGGTATATTGCTGCCATAAATAATAGCTAAACACACTCTGCATGGGCACCAAGGAACAGGCCAGCATGGGACAGGCCATTAAATTGTAAACAAGTCATTTCCATCTGCAATGGGAGCTCTTTACAGCTGAGAATTCAATCCCCACTTCTCACAAGATGGGCAAGGACAGGACAGTCCTGGGCTCCTCAGGACAGGAGACAGGAGCTACTGGAGAGGGTCCAGTGGATGAGGGGTCTCTCTTATGAGGAGAGACTGAGGGAGCTGGGCTTGGTTAGTCTGGAGAAGACTGAGAAGGGATCTCATCAATACATATAAAAATATAGGTGTCAGAGAATGGTGATGGACTCTTTTCTGTGGTGCCAGGATGAGGAGTAACAACCACAAATTAAACAAGCTCCACCTCAACATAAGGAAAAACTTCTTTCCACTGAAGGTAGCAGAGCACTGGAATAGGCTGCCCAGGGATGTCTGGACACATTCCAAACCCACCTAGATAGGTTCCTGTGTCACTTGCTCCAGATGAACCTGCCTGGGCAGGGGATTTGGGCTGAATCATCTTCAGGGGTTCCTTCCAACCCCAAACATTCTGTGACAACACCGTAGGGCTTAAAATTTTATCTTACCCAGCTCCTGCATTACAGTGATTGCTTGTGCATTACACTGCAGCTGCAACACGTGCCTCAGCATTGCTTCTGCCACAGTCTTCAGCTCTGGGGACAATTCATCTGAGGTTTTCTCACATGTCTTTGGTTTGGACCACTGCTGAGGTGATTCCTGACTCAACACAGCAGTCTCCAGGCCAGCTGCTTGCAGCTGTTTGCACAGAGCTACCACACTGAGAGTGCAGAGGAACTTGTGCTCAGGGTTGTGCTGCTCAGTGTGGGGCAAAAGGTGGAACAGAGCTTGGTAAGAGCTCTGGTACCGACCACTGCTGTCACAACCAGGGACACCTCTGCTACCAGCTCCTGCATCTGCTGCCTCACTGAGAGGCTTGCAGCTTGCCTCAGGGTTCCGAAGGTTCTTGTCCCCCTGGTGGGACCCTGCCACCAGCCTGCTAACCTCTGCAAATCCTGCCAGCAGGACAGTCCTCAAGGCCACGTGGCAGAAGACCCCCAGCGTGAGGAGCAGCGCTCCCAGGGAACACTCTGTCCTGTGGTACTGCTGCCATGCCATGTCTGCACAGTCCTGGCTGCAGTACTTGGCATAACTGCAGCCCTGGCAAGGCACAGAGGCCAGGAGCTGCCTCAGACAGCGGTGGCAGTAGAGATCTGCACTGGTGGCTCGAGTGTCCCACGCGGTGTCACCATCCTGCACAGGAAGGCTCTCCCCAGGGCACAGCACGCTCACAAAGGCCTCCTCTTTCACCAGGCTCTGTCCTGGCACGATGTCCTGGGAGGCCACCAAGTGACGTCCTCTCTCTGCATCAAAACTCAAGCTCAGGGATGCAGATGCACCTGAAATCCTGTTGTTCTCTTCCCAGATCTCTGGCTCCCCTTGAATGCCACCACGTGCTTCTCGTGCAGGCTCTGGACACCTCTCCTTCTCACCTAATTTAACCTTCAGCTGACTTAACTTTTTTAGCCGTGTCAGGTGTGTAGTCATGACCCCATCCAGAGCAATTTTACTCTCCAGCACTCTGAGGATATCCTGTGCATCCTGTAACCTCCCCAGGCACAGCAGACACTCAGCTTTCCGCAGCAGGACCTTGGGCAGCAGCCTGTC